TTCATTCAATACGCTCTTTAGGGGGCTGGGCTCAGTTGGTAGAGTGCTTGCCTAGCATGCAGGACGCCATAGGTTCAATTCTTAGCATCTCATAAATAGGGTAGAGTAGTGCATGGCACTTGAGATGTAGTCAAGCACTTGAGATGTAGAAACAAGATTAGAAGTTCAAGGCTGCCAAGCGTGGTGGCCTACATCTTTAATCCCAGCACTCAGGAGGCAGAGGCAGGCTTTTGTGAGATAGAGGCCAGTCTGGTCTACATAGTGAGGTCTAGGCCAGTTGGGGCTATCGCAAAAAGAACAAAAAGGGCGGGAGGCATAGAGAGCTGGCTCAGCAGTTAAGAGCACTGGCTGCTCTTGCAGAGGACCCAGGTTCAGTTCCCAGCACCCACATGGCAGCTAACAACCATCTGTAACTCCAATTCCAGGGGATCCTATGTCCTCTTCTAGCCTCTGTGGGCATCATGAATGGGTGTTTTTACATATACGCAGGCAAAACACTCATACACAGAAAACAAAAATAAATAAACAAAAATTAGTGTGTGTGTGTATACCATAGCTTGAGTATGGAGGTCAGAAGACAACCTGTTCAAGAAAGTTCTCGCCTTCTACCATGTAGGGTCCTGGGGATTGAACTCAGGTGGTCAGGCTTGGCAGCAAGCACCTTTACCCACTGAGCGATCTTGCCAGCCCAGGTGTCTGCTTTTTATTACTGAGAGCAGCAGCTGTGACAGTGAGCTCAGAGGAGTTTTTCAGATGTGCACTGATAGGGAAGCAGTTAACTTCCAGCAAAAGAAAAGAAATCAGGTTTTAATATGGCCTAGATCCCTTGGCCTCCCTTCTGTCCTGATTGAAGAGGAATGTGTAGGGGATACTTTGAACTAAGATCTCAAAAATAATGATTACAATGTCAGGATCTCCTGCATATGTAGGGTTTGAACTTTTTAGTTTTGTGTGAGTGTTATGCCTGCATGTATGTAAGTACACCTGTGTTGTGCAATGCCCACGGGGATAGAGAGCTGTGTTGGATCCCTCGGAACTGGAGTTACAAATGGTTGTTAGCTGCCATGAGGGTGCTGGAATTTGAACCTGGGTCCTCTGCAAGAGCAACAAGTGCTTTTAACTACTGAGCCATCTCTCCAGTCCCAGCTTTAACTTTTAAAAAATGTTTAAAATTCTAAGCCATCAGCGGGGCGTGGTGGTGCATGTCTTTTATCCCAGCACTTGGGAAGCAGAGGCAGGGAGATCTCTGTGAGTTCCAAGTCAGCCTGGTCTACTGTTGGGGGACCCTGCTGCTAAGGTTGTAGTCCTCCATGTCCGGATAGCTCTAAGGGGCTCGGAGCTATATGGAAGGACTCCCTTTCTCAGCGGGGGCCTCCTGCTCTCTGCCTGACTTACCTGGGAAGTGCCACCAAGCATGGATGCCTGACCTTATTTGGAACATGACCTTGGGCATAGTTACCTGCAATAAAACTACCCCCAGGTTTTTTCTATATGATAATTAGGCATTGCCCTATAGTCGGATGATAGGATCCCCCTGCCACATGTAAATAAAGCATACTATGAGCACCTATCAGCTGAGGCTTTGGCTGCTGCCTCCACACTATATTTTCCCTGATCCCCACTGAATAAATGGAGCTGTATCACTGAATCTGCCTCCCTGGAAGGGCTTTCTTCCGTCAGTGCTCACTGGCCCTCCTGACCCCATTCGTTGCTTCTGCTCCCTTTGTTCTCGTGGCAGTGGCCAATGACCCACGAGGGGAGGGAGAGACCCCACAGTCTACATAGCAAGTTCCAGGCCAGCTGGAGCTACAGAGAGCCTCAGTCTCAAAAGACAAAAAACAAAAAAAAACAAAAAAAATTCTGAGCCACCAGACCCCTCCCCCTGAATTCTCCAGTGATGGGGTGGGTGTGTGGCTCAGTGGCAGAGCACCTACCTAGCATGAGCGAAGCCCGGAGTTCAATTCCCAGTATCAGAAAACCGAAACAAAACATTTCCCTTTTTATAACATTTTCAAGAATCTTTTCTTTTACGTACCCAGCAATACACTTGTTCCTTTTGGATGGGAGAGTGAGTGTGTGTGTGTGTGTGTGTGTGTGTGTGTGTGTGGTGTGGGTGCATGGGTATATGTGAATTCATATGTATCTGAGTGAACTTGTGTACAGGAGGGAATGCATGTGAAGGCCAGATATTGACTTTAGGTATCTTTCTCAGTTGGTCTCCATTTATATTCTGAGGCAGGGTCTCTCTTGAAACTAGAGCTTGCACCATCCAACTTGCTCCGTGGCTCCTCTGCCTCCACCTCCCAAGTAGTGGGATTACAGGCAGGCCACCATGCCCACCGAGAGAACTCTTACATGGGCGCCAGGGATCTGAACTTGGGTCCCCACACCTGCATGGCAAGTACTTTATCCCCTGAGCCATCTTCTCGGCGCCTACGGCACATTTTTCTCTGGGTTCTAAATCTGTCCTAAGAAACACAGTAGTTTTAAAAAATCTTTTTAGCCAGGCATGGTGGCGCATTCCTTTAATCCCAGTACTTGGGAGGCAAAGGCAAGTGGATCTCTGTAAGATCAAGGCCAGTCTAGTCTACATAGCAAGTTCCAGGCTGGCTGGGTCTACAGGAAGACAATGTCTCAAAAAAATTTTATTTTTTTAAAATAGGATTAAGCTAGCCTCAAAGTCACCAACCCTCTTGCCTTCACCTCCCAGGTGTTAAGATGGGCGTAGGCCACCATGTGCAGTCACAATGGCTTTTAATTAGATCAAAATTTCGTTGATCCTCACAGTAAGAAGGGAGGCTGATCAGAGCATATAGAGAGGGCTGGTGCTGTAGCTCAGTGGGTAGGGCGCTTGCCTAGCATTCATAAAGTCCTGGGTTTGATCCCTAGCACCTCATAAAACCAGGCACAGTGGTACACACATGTAATCCCAGCACTTAAGAGGGCGAGGCAGGAGGACCCAAAATTCAAGGCAATCTTCAAGTATATGACATGTTCAAGGCCAGCCTAGATATATAAGACCCTGTCTAAAAAACAACAACAACAAAAAGGAGTTCCAAATTGTATCCTTGGCCACTTGGGTCCTTGTTTCTTGTCTATCCACGATCATAACTTGTACCAAACAACAAATGCTGGAAACAAAATCCCCCATATGGCACTGGGAGAGTTGCTAAACCTCTCTTTGCTTCTGCTTGCCCATCTGCCACAGAAGATCAATATAGCTTGTTTTGGGGAGGACTGGTATGCATATAAGAACGGGAAAGCTTTCCTTATTAAAAAAACAACAGTGTACTACATCACTTATAAAAAAAAATCAGGCAAAATAAAGCCCTTGACAAACTTACATAAAAAAGGAGATCTGGTATCTGATGTTAATCACATAATTCCCTAAGGAGGGGAGCTTACTGTATCATTAGAAATCTGGGCTAAAACTCATACTCTGAAGTAGTGGTATGACCAAACTGTGTCTGTGCCAAACGAAGCACTGTGGCTTATACAACCAAGCCTCCATTCCCCCCCAACCACGAGTTTTGAGTTTATTGGACAAGACCACCAAGATCTAGACAGAACAAACTATAAGAACAACCCCAATTCCAGCACTTGAGAGATGGAGGCAGGAGGATCAGGAGTTTCAAAGCCCGTCTCAACTACACAGTGAATTTAAAGTCAGCCTGGGCTACATGAGACTCTATGTCAAGCTAAATTAATAAAGAAAAAGTGCACAGTGGCACATGCCTTTGATCCCCAGCACTCAGGATGCAGAGGCAGGTGGATCTCTGTGACACCAAAGCCAGCCTAATCTATATAGTGAGTTCCAAGCCAGCTGGGGCAGCAGGGAGACCCTGTCTCAAAATGTGGGCCAGTAAGATGGCTCAGCAGTTATGGAGCTTGATTCCATGCCTGTTCCCCTTAGTCTCCAGGGATCCACATGGTGGTGGAAGGAGAGCAGATTCTTAGTTGTCCTCTGAACTACACAAATGCACCCCAGCACCTGCACACCCCTACACACAAACAAAATAAATAAAATGTAATTTTAAAAGGGGGAAAGAGAGAGAGATGAATAACTCATCTATCTAGAACCTCCTATCTTTGGGAAAGTTAACCTGTGTACCAGGGTAACCCATTGGCTCTCTGCCCTTTCTGGATTTCATAAGCCACCTACCCTCTGGCTAGAATTCCAGAGCCCTGCAAGATTAGGATCTGCACCTGATCCCTGCCTCCCTACCTGCCACTCTAGGCTGTCAACTTGGGCTAAGGCACGTATTTTCCATTCCTTTCTATGTTGCACTAAGGCACACAAGCCAGAAGAACAGGGCACTCCTTTATTTTGAGTGCAGTTTCCCTAGTTCTTTCCTTTTTCTCCTACCTACATAAAGTCCTCCCCCCCCGGGGGGGGGTAGGATAGAGTCCAAGGAGCACCCGCTAGCCTCAAACTGGCTCTGTAGCCCGGATTGGCTTTGAACTCTTGATCTTCCTACCTTCACCAGAGTGCTGGGATTCCAGGCGTGCATAAGCATGCCAGTTTCATGCAGAACTGGGGATGGAAACCCAGGGTTTTCTGCATGCTAGGCAAGCACTCTACCAACTGAACTACATCACATTCCCAAGCTAAAAGTTCCCTTTAAAGGTTTATGTCAATTTCTGGCCCTTTAAGTCCCTCCCCCACCCCACCCGAGTTCCTTTCTATTCTCCACACTTTCTCTCTCCCCCTCGGCAATTCTCCTTCGCCTCCCCGGGGAAATTTCTCCAAGCCTCTCCCCGTGTCCCTCCTCAGCCCCCACCCTTCCCTCTGCAACGCGACTCCAGCCTCGTCTTCCGTCCCTGCGTTCTTTTTTCCTCCCTTTTCGCCCACGACACACCACTGCAGTAGGCGATAACCCCTACTTTACCTTGTCCAATGCTGGGGTGTCCACCTCCCCGACCTCCCCGACCTCCCCGGTCTCCCGGGGTTCCTGCAGACTGTCCCCAACCCCAACTGGCTTCTTCCCCCATGTACTCACAAGAGGCCCGAGCAGGTGGTGCAGACAAAGCTGCCCACGGTGATGTCCACGTAGGTGACCCCACGCTGGGCGCACTCGAAGCAGTGGCGGTTCCCGGCCTGGCTGCAGCCGCCCAGCTCGCGCACTCGGCGGCACCACACCTCCGAGGCCGCTTCGGCCTCCGCTTTGCTCCCTCCGACCCCGCCACCCGGGCCCGGGCCTTTCTTAGCCGCCATCACCATGCCTCCTCCGCGCTCTAGCTCCTCTTTAGCAGCTCTGCCGCCTTTCCCGCCTCCGCCACCTTCGCACGCCGGGCAACCTCAGACATCAGTTCCTGGCAGCCCGCGGCAGCGCGAGACTCCGCTGCCCCCGTCCTCCTCCTGCTCTGCACACTGATTGGCTAGGCGGCTCCCGCCTCCTCGCTCTGATTGGTCCGACCCCGATGGCTGCTGGCGCCTCCAGAGCCACGCCCCACTGCCTTCAGGCCTCAGGCCTCTCCCATTGATCCACCAAGACCCCTACCATTATGAGACCCCGCGTCCCTCTTCCTTGTCCCCGCCCCCTCTCGCCACGGGCTCCTACGCTGACTCTGATTGGCTGTCAGGGTTACAAAATTAGCATGTGACATAAGAGGTGGTGTCCCGCGCGTGCGCAGTACCCGTCCTGCGAGCTGGTGTCAATTCCCGCCAAATTTCAAAGGCTTGCTCTGCGGTGACAAGCAAAGCAGAAGAGAAACCTTTGATCCTATGAGGAACTGAGGAGAAGGGGGGAACACAGGAGAGACAGAGTGCTTTATAAATGTCTTATTTACCCAGGTCATAGGTGAAACCCTCAGAGAAATGGTCCAGTGAGTAAAGGTGCTTGCCACCAAGCCTGAAGACCAGAGTTCATTTCATGGAACCCACATGATGGAAGGAGAGAACAAACTCCCATAAATTGTCCTCTGACCTCCACTGGTGTGAACCCACACACACAAATATAAAAATTAAAAACTTTAGCCAGGTGTGGTGGTGCACACCTTTAATCCCAGCACTTGGGAGGCAGAAGCAGGCGGATCTTTGTGAGTTTGAGGTTTACATAGTGAGTTCCAGGACATCTGGGGCTACAGGGAGAATCTCTCAGACAAAAAAAAGACAAAAAAATAAATAAATAAAAATAAAAACCTTAAGGGCTGGAGAGATGATTGTGGTTAAGAACACACATACTGCTCTTCCAGAGAACATGAGTTCAATTTCCAGTAGCCACAACAGGTAGCTCATGCCTGTAACTCTAGCTCCTGAGAGATCTGACAACTCTGGCTTCCCCAGGCACCTGCACTCACGTGCACATACCCCAACCCCGAGACACACACACACAATTTTAAAAAACCTCTAGTCAGGCGTGGTGGTGCACACCTTTAAACCCCAGGACTTGAGAGGTGGAAGCAGGAGGATCAGAGGTTCAAGGTCATCCTCAGCTATTGACTGAATAAGGGAAGGCCAAAAAGGGAGCAGGTTAGGGGATATTGACAGCCAGCTTTGAAAAACCCCATGAAGAAGGCAGGTAGTCCTGATTTCTGGGACAAACCAGAACTAAAGGGTAGGCTTGGGAGTCACCAGCACATAGAAGTTATGTACTTCTATGAGCCACTGGACTAGATAAAGTCCTTAGGTATGACATGTGGGTGAAGAAGAGAAGGCACTGGTGCTGTAGTTAAGTGGCACAGTGCTTGCCTTGCATGCACGAGAGCTGAGGTTTAATACCCAGTACTGAAGAGGGAGGCGGGGAAGCAAATTATTGGGGTAGAGAGATGGCTCAGTTGATAAAGTACTTGCTGTGCAAGCATGGGGATCTGAGTTTGATCCTCAGAACACAGCCAGGTACAGAAGCATGCACCTGTAATCCCAGTGCTGCAGAGGGAGAGACAGGAGGATCCCTGGGGCTCACTGGTCTAGACTAATGAGTGAGTTCTAGGCCAGTGGGAGACCCTTTCTCAAAAAAATAAGGTGAACAGTTGAGGAAGACACCTGATGTTACCCTCTGGCTTCTACAAATGTACATGTGTATGTATACACGTGTGTGTGTGTGTGTGAGTTCACACACACACAAGCAGGCACTGGCCTGAGGGTGTAACCCAATGGTGAAGTGCTAGCTTGGAAGGTATGAGCAATATTTGATCCCCAGAATGCCAAAATACAGAAAGAAAGAAAGAAAGAAAGAAAGAAAGAAAGAAAGAAAGAAAGAAAGAAAGAAAGAAAGAAAGAAAGAAAGAGAAAGAGAAAGAAAGAAAAAGAAAGTCCAGATGTTAGCCAAAGTACACAGGGTCCCCATGGGACACCAAGCAGCCCCATGCAGATACACAGCTGGGATATCCTAGCCCATGTGAAACATCCTCTGCACTTTGGGTTCACCATGTCCACATGCTAACCAGTCCTCCTGTAGTTTCTCATTAGCCACGGGTTATTGCTTCCCCTCTGGAAACATTAAGCAATCTGGTACACTTACCTATCACCAATATCAAGAGAAAAATAAATTAGGACATCCATTGGTTTTGATAATTTTGTGTTAGTTTTTGCTACTTGGGTGTGGTCTTCAAGGACAACCAAAGGGAGATTTCTCCTCCTGTCTCTACCCCACCCAGGCCATATCAGGCAGCAACAACCCTATTTCCCTCTTACAATCAGGGAAAATGCACAGCCGGTCTGGGGACACCCTCTTCTGCCATTGCACTAGTGACCAGGTGGAGCCCTTGATGGCATCTCTGGTGAAAACCCTTGCTCTTGGGGGTTGGGAGTTAAGTCTAGAACTTGAGTGACTTGGAGGACCTGAAAGCAAACATTTTAAAGCACAATAATAGTAGTAGTCTGGAGAGATGGCTCAGTAAGTAAAGTGCTTGCTATACAACCATGAGGTCCTGAGATAGATCCCTAGAATGTATGTTTTTAAAAAAAGTCAGGCATGGGAGCTGGAGAGATGGCTCAGCAGTTAAGAGCACTGGCTGCTCTTGTAGAGGACCCAGGTTAGGTGCCCAGCACCCACATGGCAGCTAACAACTATCCATAACTCAAGTTTCAGGGGATTAAATGTCTTCTGGCCTCTAAAGGTACCAGACACACACTGGTGCACATGTATACAGCAGGCATTCATACATGTAAAATAACACATACACTGAGAAGGCAGATCCCTGGGGCTGGCTGAGCAGCCAGCCTAGCCTAATCATTGAGCTCCAGGTCTCAACGAGAGACCCTGTCTCAAAAAATAAGGTAAGGGGCAGCAGATGACCTAATGGGTAAAAACACTCATTGTAATGTAAGTCTGACAGCTTGAATTTGATCCCCAGCATCCATAGAAAAGTGAAAGGAGAGAATGAACTTTACAAAGTTGTCCTCTGACCTCTACATGGCACACCCCCACACATACACACCATACATGCACACAATAATAATAAATAAAATTATTAAAGAAAAAACAAGGTGGAAAGCTCCCACCTGGCACACACACACACACACACACACACACACACACAGAGGATAGTGAGAGTTACCACCCTCCAGCCCGGACCTTGGTTACTAAATATTTATCTTGGCTGGGGGAGAATTGAAACTTCATGTCAGTCACCAGATCACATATCACTATCTTCGAGAAAGAGGGCCAGCCTCACAGGTGTGGTCTCCTGGGTACCACTAGATCAGTTTTCAGGGACAATTTCATTGTCAGCTTTTGGCCATCTGCTTCTGGTGCATAGGAAATAGGATAATGGCTCTAGGCTGGCCAACTATCTTCTTTCTTGTGTGTGTTTGTGTGTGTGTGTGTGTGTGTGTGTGTGTGTGTGTAAACACCAGAGGTCAACTTCGGGTATTGTCGCTTGTTTTTTGGACATAGAATCTCTCACTGACCTGGAGATCACCAATAAGGGTAAGCTGGCCTACCAGCAAGTCCCAGGGATCTACCTGTCTCAGCGCCCTCAGGGCTAGGCTCTCAAGCTTGGGCCACCCCACCTGACTGGGAATTAAACTCAGGTCCACATGCTTGTGCAACAAATGTTTTACCCACCGAGCCATCTCCCCTGCCCTTGTCTTTTTTTCTTTCACTGAAGAAACAGGGCATTCAGTTGAAGACAGCTATGTCTACGCAACCCTCAGTAATTCTATTGGTGAACATGGTAGCCACTACCATCTTTTAAAAAATTATTTATTGGGCTGGAGAGATGGCTCAGCAGTTAAGAGCACTGGCTGTTCTCCCAGAAGACCCAGGTTTGAATCCCAGTACCCAGATGGCAGCTAACAACCATCAGTAACTCAAGTTCCAGGGGATCCCATGCTTTCTTCTGTCATCCATGACACTGCAGGACATGAGTGCACTTGCATACATGCAGGCATAGCACTCACACACATAAAAAATAAAATGAAATAAAAATTATTTATATTATATATATGCATTTTGTAATAAGGTATGCATATGCACTATGTGCATGCGGTGCCCACAGAGGCCAGAAGAGGGCGTCAGATCCCTTGGAACTGGGGTTACAATGATTCTGAATTGCCATGTGGGTGCTGGGAACTGAACCCAGGTCCCTCTGCAAGAGCAGCCAGTGCTCTTAACTGCTGAGCCATCTCTTCATCCAGCCACTACCATCTTAATCAGAGCAGATATGAGGACTCACATAAGACCCTCAACAAGACTGGGCCTGTTGATGTTCCCTCTTGGGAGGAGCGAGTCAACAGGCTCATTTGTCCCTCACCTGAGGTTCCAGCCTCTCTTGTAACACCCCCGACCACATGCCCAGACCCTGGCCCAGGGTGTATGTAATTCTCCTGCCTTGTCTGCTGGAGAATAATAGTGAATAGAAGGTTAAATGAGGGCAGCACTCTGTCTCTACAGCTATGGGGAAGTCATCATCCATGCTGGGATGAGAGTTTCTAAGATGTCTCCAAAAAGAAAGTACATAAAATAAAAAGTTGATATGAGGAAATAAGGAAGGGCCTCTTGTCCTTGATAAAAAAAAAAAAAAAGAGGGACCGCATTCATGACCCACTTAATTAATTTAATTAACTTATTTGGGATTTTTTTGTTTATTTTGATTTTTTTTTCTTGAGACCTATCTCTTACCATGTAGCCCTAGTTGGTCTGGAACTCACTATGTAGACCAGGCTGGCCTAGAACTCATAGAGCTCTTCCTGCCTTTGCCGCCCAAATCCTGGGATTAAAGGCCTGTGCCACCAAACCTAGCCCCATTTGTTTATTTTTGAGACAAGGTCTTTGAATGAAGAAAGAGCCCAGGCTGGTCTGAAACTCCCTATGTAACCTAGGCTGGCCTTCAACGCCTGATCATCCTGCCTCAGTTTCCTAGAGGCTAGAAGCACATACCTGAGTCACCACACCCAACTGGGACAATAGTTTTTAAGAAAAGATTTAAGAATGCATTTGGACTCAGTCTTTGCCACAACTTACTGCTGGAGGAGTGTTCCCAATCTGTAATGGAAGGAGAGAAGGAAACCACACAGAGTTAGAGAGACAGACCTGAACGTTCCTGGAGGCTGAGACAGTTCAAATTA